TCCCCGGGGTCCTATGTTCCCCACTAAGGTTAGGGTTCCCCGGTCCCATACAAAGCGGGGAACATAGGACCCGGGGAACATAGGTACGCTCCCAGCTGGGAAGCTACTCAGATAGTATTTTACTAGAAAATAATAAAATAATATCAGTGAGCAAGCAAGCTAACGAGTCTGGATGAAGCTAGCTGACAGTATTTTGCTACATTAGCTAACTAGGAATTTGTCCGTGTTAACAACCAAGCTAACGTTATCCAGCTAAAAGCCCAATCAGACATTATGTTCCACTAGCTTAGCAGTAATATGAGCTTTGACTTTGGACTCTGTGTTGGACTTTGTAGACGTTAGCGGACTCCATTTATAGGCTAACGTTAACTAGTGTTGCACACTGTTGGCACTGTAGGGAAGAGAAGAGAACGAAGGCACAGGAGAAATTCATTTTTAAGTTCTTCCCCTTATTTACATCTTTAAGCTTTCTCTTGTGCTGCACATGAATTTCTCCTTTTAGGGATCAATGAAATCTTGTCATATCAATCCCACGATCTTCTGTCACTTTGTGTATTTGATGCAGTTTAATAAAACAACAGAGGATTGTGCAGGTCAGCAAACTGTGGCGGCTTCTACTTTCAACTATAATAATGCTGATTCTGTTTTTGCCAGCAACACAACTACAGATATTTTTAGCCAAACCGCTCAGGCTCATTTCCTGCTCTTCATTCCCAAATGTCAAACAAAACTCTCCCCTCATCATGTGTTACAGTTTAACCCCAGCTGATCTTTATCACTTCAGTGGGTATAACTAAGATAAGCTGTCGTCACGTAGGCTGCTGCCATCGCAAGCTTTGTTTGAATAAAGCAATAAACACATCAGTAAACCACAGAGAGCAGAGAGTTCACAGCTTCAACATTACACCACCTAATACCGTTAGATAGGTTTCCCAGCAGGAAGTTTCTATTGTGAATCGATTTGATTCAGGTTTTGTAACATGTTGGATGGCTGGCAGGTTTATTTCCATTATTGTGTATCCTAATATTACTATTAGTGTAGTTGTTGCTACTGTTGTTGCTGTGCACCTCTGTCTGTCTGTCTGTCTCTCTCTCTCTGTCTCTCTCTCTGTCTCTCTCTCTCCTGTTAAAAGCCAAGGGGTCTGTCCTAGGTTTCTGCCTCTTAAAAGGAAGTTTTTCCTTGCTGCTGTCACCAAGTGCTTGCTCATGGTGGGAACTGTTGGGTCTCTGTAAATGTTATAAGGAGTCTCCTTCATATAGTAATAAGCAACTCATACAGGCTGCTAACAGGAAACAAACTGGTCTTTCTCTAATTTAGCCAGAGCCAATCAATATTCATGTATTGAACAGTTCTGTGGGGAGCCAGAATGCCATTAAAATGTCCCATCAAACATTTTGGTGCACATCATGAACGTCCTTTTCCTAAACCTAACCAAGCTGCAGCTGTTTTACAACGTTAACCCTGCAAGCTTTATTTTGATAGTCTAACAGGACATATTTACTCTTCTTTATATGGAGGACCACTGACCAGGTGGCAATATTCAAAGTTAGTAGTTAGAACATTGTCGTCAAGTTTCATTGAGTCTTGAAAAGTAGACTTTATTAAAAGAGGGGATCATTGGTGCTGCTTTAGCTCAGGTAGGACTGTTTCTGCTCACCTCTTTGGGCATGTTTCTGGGGAAGAATAAGTAAGGCAGTGCAGTAAGGAAGAGGAGGCAGGACGCCACCAGGAAGCCAAGCCACCAGGCTCCCACCCAGCGCAGGTCCTTGTGGTTCAACTCGATCTGGTCTGGAAAGAGAAGAGAGCACCAGTCAGTCATGAAACACAAACTCAACTCTTGTTATCACAGGACCAATAAACACAGTCTATCAGTGATTGTACAGAGTTCAATAAAGTTCTCTTGAGGAAGGTTTCTGTGAAAACTCCACTTGTTTGGACTGTTGACAAGTTGTATCAGCAACCTCTGTTGCAACAGCAATGCAACATGTTCAAACACAGGTAATCTGCTGCTTTTGTCGCTGCTTGCCGCTGTTGGACGTCTGCCTGAAATGTAAAGTATCCTGCTAATGATCTCTGATCTCCAAAACCTGCAAGGCAACTTCAGGAGCTGGAGGAGTTAATAGAGCTGGGTACCAGGCCCTGAGGGAATTGGCATGTGAGGCCCTTGGCATGCGAGGCCCTAATTACTGAACATAAACAGAAAAACATAACATGAACTCCAGCCTACACAACGGCAACACACACGCCCAAAACAGATATGAGTAACCTGCAAATGGCAAACCAACCAGATCAGCCCTGGGAGTCTGGATAAAGCTAACTGACAGTATTTTGCTAAATTAGCTAGCTAGCAATTTGTCTATGTTAATAAGCAAGATAACTTTAGCTAGCTTAAACCACAATATGACAACATATTCCACAAACTCTGCTGTGGAAAGCTTAGAAGTGCAAGTACTTTTTACAGTCTTATAATATAGACCATTACGTCGATCGCGATCTACCGGTCGATCGCAAAGGTCAGCCTATCATCCATCCTCACTATAATGTTTGTCACTTGATTGACATACAGGACAACCATTCTAACGTCTGACCGTTTCTGACACAGGTCAGCTGTACTAACAGTCGCTGTGAAGCATGGGCCGAGGATGAGACCCAGAAACTTTGGAGGGATATAGCGGACTGCAAGTGTTTTAGAGTCTACAGACGTGAATGACACAGCCCAGTTGTGCATTTTTATTCGATATGATTGCAAAAGAGGAGCTGTTAACCGTACCGTACCCATGAAAGAACTCGTGTGGGGAGAGGACATTTTTCAGTCTTTTAAAAGCTGTATTGAGAAAACTCAGCTCCCAGTGTGGAAATTGGTGTCCATCACCCCGGACGGTGCGCCCGCGATGGTTGGCCACTCGAATGGATTTATTGCCAAGTGCAGGGAGGATGATGCCTTCCCCAACTTTTTTCCGCGCCTCCTTTCCGCTTCTTGCTGTTCTCCATTTTCGTGATCTCCTCTCTCTCTGTATGATTGATTGATTGACAGCAGAGGCCCAGAGAGGGAGGGGCATCGGCCCTCGGCCGTAATTGCGTCCCAGCCCAGAGATCCACTAATGGTCTGATCTAAACAGGTTTTGGGCCCCAAGTAGGGGTATCATGGGACTAATCATCATTACTAATAGCTACTAGTACGTAGTACCATTAGTAAAAAAATAAAATAAAATAAATCACCATCGTGACAAATGCCCGGTATGCCCGATGGCCAGTCCAGCAGTGCTTGCCTGCCGTACTGTTGGTTGCTGTTGAAACTCCTGACTTTGTCCAAAGTCCGCAAAGTCTCTGAGTGCAGTATCTGATGGCAGGGTGAACAAAAAAATGGTCCTTGGTGAACAATTGGAACCTGAAGCCAGGTGGAAATGGTTAATCCTCCTCTGCCCGTCGCTCCCGTCTCGGCTGTAGGTAGTTGGACTTCTCTTTCGGGGATGATAGCTTGTTTGTTTGCTCCGTCTCTTGAGTTGAAATTCTAAGTTCAAAGATGAGTTGCTCCGATGTGGTCGATTGATCAGCAAGTCTTGAACCCGAGAGCCGGCCGAGGACTAACCACGATCCTCCTTGTGTAGCACCTTTTATCCCCTTAGGGTGTTCGGTTCGGGGCCGTGCTACTTCCTCTTTTGCTCCTCANNTGCGCTCAACTTCACAAGATGTGTATTCTTGATTTCAGCTACTTTAAATAATTGTAGCCGTACACCGGTACGGTGACCCTGAGAGTTCAACCCACTGCAACTTAAAGGTTGTATGAATCCAGTGGCCGTCAAGTGAACTTCAGTTAGTGTCAGGTTGCTTGGTGCATGGTTTGTAGGGGCCAGTTAGCATCATCCTGGGAATTGGCCAAAAGTTACAAACAATAGACTGAACACTGGAAGAAAAAATTACGTCATATTTAGAATAACGTACTTACATCTGCCATGTACCTATATTTTATTTGGGCCAGTGACTCCATGCTATTAATAAATACTATTAATAAGCTTTCCATTCACAAATCACCCCATCAGCCAACACCATGAAGGAATGCTAGCCTGCCAACCCCAGCTTAACTAGTCGGATGACCCTGCTTGCATTGCTCTTGGTGAATGGTTAGCTTTGTATTGTTACATAATTTATTGTTGGCTAAAATTAACACCATTTGTCATAATGAATTTTGACTTCACAATCTTCTCAGAACACAATTATAAATAACGAAAGTATCAAGGGGACAGAAATAAAGGATGAACAACCGAGACATGCGATCCGTTGGTGTGGTTTGTGGCTTGTGAAGTTACTGAAGTTGACTGATTGGAGGAATGTTGGAAAATGAGCAAACAGTGTAATTATTGTATTTTTAATATTCCGATAGCATGATTCAGATATGATTGCAGATATTTACATAGTACATAATATCTGAGTGATGCAATCAGAATGTTAAAACTAAACATTGCTCCACTAACTGAATTGATTTGTCTTGTGTTCTGTGGGATTTGCAGTGTTTATAGTTTTTTATTTTTGTAAAAGCTGTACATGTGTTTACAAATTGGTGAAGATGTTTTCTTTACTTATATTTGTTTCGTGTATTAACATATGTTTTCTTTAGTTACTGTGCATTGAGCCCTCTGGCACTGTACAAAGGTTATCAGTAAATCTACTGGTAGAGGATCAGATTCATACTTGCTATA